TTGCATGGATCGATGTTCATGATATCTATCACTGGATTGTCTGGTCTAGACTCGATTATTTACAGATCGCCGTCATATAGCTGGAATATTGCCGAGTGCAGCGTTAAACAACAAACAAACATAGTATTTAAATTTATAAAGCTTTTCGTTTTTATATAGTTTTGTTTCATTTAATACAGTTTTTCCATTTCATCTTTTTCTATTATTTTATACATTTTATACTCATTATAAAAGTAGGGGAACGCCGAAATTTTTGAACCAACCATGTTGGGATAAGTTGTAAATGCATTGTTGTTGGATGTGCAACGTTTGTTGACCCTAATACAACAATGCACATGCTTTCCATGACACCTGTGAACCCACTGAAAATATGGGTGTAAAAAAACTAACGCATTGGAATCCTTTCACCACGCCGGGACGAAGACAGTTAAGCCAGTTACACAGAGGCCGTGTGATTGGGTGGCTGCGGGATGGAATAGGTATTAGACGTGTTGCAAAACGCCTCTGAAAGTCCCCATCAGTGATTTCGCGACTGTGGAAGAGGTTGCGAACAACGATTATAGTTCACGATCGACCACTTTCAGGTTGACCAAGTGAGTGAGTGAGTATTGTTTTACGCCGCTTTTTGCAATATTCCAACAATATCACGGCGGGGGCGACTATGCTTGTCGTAAGAGGCGACTAAACTTTAAACTAACCACATTATTGTGGAACAACTTACCGCGTGCCCACTAACTATGTATTAAACCTCAATAGCTGAAGATGAGTGAGTATGGTCTTGGGCCGCTGTTAGCAATATTCCAGCAATATCACGGCGGGGGACACAAAATAATTGCGTGGATCGATGTTCATGATGTCAATCACTGGATTGTCTGGTCCAGACTCGATTTTGTACAGATCGCCGTCATATAGCTGGGATATTGCTGAGTGCGGCGTTAAACAACAAACAAAGGACAAAGAAAGGAAAAGTATTAATTATTTTTGTATTGATACGATTTCTATGTTCATGATTTGAATTTTGATTTTCAGAAACTAATAGAATTTCCTTGTCTGCTCTGTTTATATACGTCCGAGTAGCTGACCAGCTTTCATAAACAGAGTTAATTTCGCCTTCGTGAAATAATATGGCATCTCTTAGCTTTAGGAAATTAACGGCTGATAGTTCAAACAAGAATTGCAGTTGGATCCGCTGAGTCCGACCCGTGAAGATCCGGGGTAGAATACGTCTTCGGCAACCCATGCTTGCCGTAAAATGTGACTATGCTTGTCGTAAAAGGCGACTAACGGGATCGAGTTGTCAGGGTCGCTGACTTGGTTGATGCGTGTCATCGATCCCAATTGCGTGGATCGATGCTCATGATATCAACCACTGGATTGTCTGGTCCAGACTCGATTATTTACAGACCGCCGTCATATAGCTTGAATATTGCTGAGTGCGGCATTAAACAACAAACCAACCAACCAACCGCTGAGTCCGAAATGGGGCATGGTCTTGACATGAGACTGGGGCGCGGGATGGCTACTTCAACTGTCCTTTTATTTGAGTATTATTATGGCTTTTTGTAGATTTGGGGTATATTCTGTGTGGCCAACTGCCGATTTTGCTTGCGTCCCATCGGGCTTGCCATTTGTGGCCTGTGAAGTCTTTGCATTTGCTTTTCATGTTTAACTTGCTGATGTTGAAACATAAGATGCTGTGCATCAATTTACTTGTCTTTATTCACTAAACTAAAACAATAATTGCTGAGTGCGGCGTTAAAGAACAAACAAAGCTTGTCAAGATATATGAAAACAATCAATTGGTGTACTCACCTGAAAAAGGGTGTGACGATAACCCAAGCTAATAGGTTAATGCTACAGGAAGCTGTGTGAAAACAAACTAAAGGGAAAGAAGGACTGCCTTATTTCCCTCAAGAAAATATTTCATCTCATGCTAAATCCAGCTAAATACCGCAGAACTGTTTGCAACATCTACTGCCCTACATCTGGACAACTATACCTGTCGTAAGAGGCGGCGTTAAACAACAAACAAAACAAAACAAAACATGTGGACAAAAGTCTAAATAACAATTTATTTCTCTTTTTTTTCTGATTCAAAGGGAACATTCACAAACCCGACCTTACTCGATTAATAACACTATTCCCTTAACCTCAGCACTAAACATGAGATAAACCAAAATTAATAAAGGTTCGAGAGCTATATATCTAACAGATTCCACAAAGTATTAATTAACTTTAGGTATCCACGTAAAGAAAATGAGCAGCCGGTGTACATCAGGGATCTGTTTTGAGCCCTCTCATCTTTCTTATTTATACATAGTTGATGATATGCAATCCAATATACGACTGTTTGGTGATGATAGGTCAGCTTATGTAGTAGTCGAAGATCTCTGACTACAAATCGAAGATCTCTGACTACAAACAGAATACTAAATGGTGATCTCCACAGAATCGCAGAATGGGCTGATAAATGGTTTACTCCAAATGTGACTGAAACTATTCAGTTTTTTCGCAAGTGTCTACCTTGTCATAGAGAACCTTTGGGAGAGTATCTCATAAGCATTTAGTAGTATTATATGAAGATGCCCAATGGCATGAACATTCCAGTAATATTGTTAAGAAAGCTAGTCCTATGATTAATTGATCGAGGAGTTATAAATATCTTTAACTTTGCCTGTACTCAATTACAGCTCCCATATAACGGACTACACAAACAGGAATTACTGTCAGATAAACTTCATCTTGATACTGTGAGAACAAAATTTTAAAATATAAGAGAAATGAAGAAATGATGTTACTTTATATTACAAAATGATAAACAATATTGCTCCAGGATATGTGTGCAATCTCGTTCCGCTTCAGATAAATAAAAATGATCTGTTACAAGAAATTTTTTGTGAAACTTCGCCTTGCAGTAAGTCTTTTCTTCAAGCTACTACCCTCCTTTGGGATCTGAGGCTGACACTGACACCCGTCTATATTACTGATTGATAATGATTACATTTGGCTAGCAGGTTAGAGCCCTCAGCAATCATAACTACATGTAACATATACTAGGTAATGCGTTTACAACGGTCGGGGAGATTTTTACGAATAGTTCCATTTTAAATCGAGACAAAATAACAATAAAAAGTTGTTTTTTTTGACAGGTTGACATATGTGTTATTCATATGAAAACACCTTTATTAGATCACATGCCGCTTTTGTAAATATTGTTTCTTCATTTCATCAGTAATTGTTTTGATTTCTTTGTGTTTTAGTTTGCGTGTTTTTTTTCTATTATTCTGTTTTATATAGGTTTCTTTTCATATTTTTTTTCATTTGTTATAGATTTTGCATTTTATATAGTTTGGCAATTTGTATAGTTTTCGCATTTTATATAATTTCTGCCTTTTATACTTACTTAGTATTGGAGATTTTACGTGCGCTTTTATATACATTTCTGCCTTTTATATACATTTCCTTTGCCCTGCAAGTCTTTCCACAAGGTGGTTTTATGGTTCATCGAGTGCAGCCCGTACTATCTGCTGACATATTTGATCAATTAAACCCCTACTAATGATTGTCAACGCTAAGTAAATAAACTTTATTCGATAAACGTTCCGGGAAAAAAGAGGGCAAAACACGGTAATGCGTAACAAAAGAGTCCACTTAACCCGGAAATTCAACATTTTCGGAATTAGTTTTTTGTTTTTGTTTGTTTGTTTGTTTTTTGGAGCTTATCTCTCATTTCTCCTGTACTCGATTACAACTCCACTATATCGGATAACTGTACACAACAACAGGAATTAGGGCACGACAGAAACCTATGATTGTGGGTTCGAATCCCGGTTCGCCCCGATTATGTTTCTGTTTGTCAGCACCATACCCGTGCTCGTGGGTTTCACCGAAGTGGTACCCGTCCGAGACCTGTATCACTTCGGGCTTTCCTCCCACATTAAGCTGACACGCCGCGATATAACTGGAATACTGTTAAAAGCGGCGTTAAACCCAAATCACTCACTCACTCACTCACTCACAACAGGAATTATTCTTGGAGAAGCATCATCTTGATGCCTAGAGAACAATATTTGGTGCAACACGTGGTGTGAGCCATAGTACATTATATAAAGAAACTGGTCTACAGCCTCTCAAGAAGAACAGAGCAGTGAAAAAACTATGTTTATATTACAAATTGATAAACAATATTGCTCTAGAATATCTGTGTAATCTCGTTCCGCGTCAGATAGATAATCATGACAGATTAAGAAATGCCATGCAGTTACAAGAAATATATATTTAAAACTTAGCAGTTAATCGCTTCTTCAAGCTACTAACCCGTGAAGATCCGGGGTAGAATAGGTCTTCAGCAACCAATGCTTGCCGTAAAAGGCGACTAGGCTTGTCGTAAAAGGCGACTAACGGGATCGGGTGGTCAGGCTCGCTGACTTGGTTGATGCACGGTCATCGATCCCAATTGCGTGGATCGATGCTCATGATGTCAATCACTGGATTGTCTGGTCCAGACTCGATTATTTTACAGACCGCCGCCATATAGCTGGAATATTGCTGAGTGCAGCGTTAAACAACAAACAAACAAACCAACCAATCTTCAAGCTACTACCCTCCTTTGGAATCTGCTCCTAGATGATGTTTTGCATTCTGGCACGTATGATGGTTTTGAAAGCGCATTGAATATTTCTGAAAATATTTTGACTAAAACTACACTGTTCTCGCTGTTGTCAAATTGTCCATGCTCGTTTTAGTAATGAAATCATTGATAGTAACAGTAACTGAGGTTCCTTGTCACTTCCTTTTATTAGTCCTTCTTATCGTAACACTGGAAGCATTTTGTACAACGTCTCAAGGGGGTTTGATCTTATACTAGTACTGTATGGCTGCATGGTGGAATTTAACGAGAAATGTCCACCACAGCATACTAATGAGTCTGTCCATGACTTTATAGAAAATAATGGTACGTTGTTACATTGAGTATAAATATATACTAAGCTTATATGCATATGACTGAAGTGTTGGTAACATGAGATGACTTCTTACTATGTAATTTGAATTGTTTCCTACCATAAAGTTTTGAAGTTTGCAATTGTAACAGGGGGTATTTCCATGAGCCATTTGGATCTGTTTACCAATCCCTAAAATATCACCATCACCGCTCACCCCCAACCATCACCCCCGACCATCACCCCCGGCCATCACTCCTCACCCCCGACCATCACCCCTCACCCCCGACCATCGCCCCTCACCCCAAACCATCACCCCCAACCATCACACGCAACCATCACTTCCAACTATCGCCCCTAACCATCACCCCCGACCATCACTTCCAACCTTATCCCCGACCATCACTTTCAATCATCACGCACAATCATCACCCCCGACCATAACCCCCGACAATCACCCCTCACTCCCGACCATCACTCCTCACCCCCGATCATCACCCCTCACCCCCAACCATCACCCCTCACCCCCAACCATCACCCCTGACCATCACCCCCGGCCATCACTCCTCACCCCAAACCATCACCCCCAACCATCACCCCCAACCATCACCGCCGACCATCACTTCCAACCTTATCCCCGACCATCACTTTCGATCATCACCCACAACCATCACCCCCGACCATAACCCCCGACAATCACCCCTCACCCCCGACCATCTCTCCTCACCCCCGATCATCACCCCTCACCCCCAACCATCACCCCTCATCCCTAACCATCACTCTTCACCCCCGACCATCACCCCTCACCCCCAACCATCACCCCTCACCCCCAACCATCACTCCTCACCCCCGACCATCACCCCTCACCCCCAACCATCACCCCTCACCCCCGACCATCACCCCTCACCCCCAACCATCACTCCTCACCCCCGACCATCACTCCTCACCCCCGACCATCACCCCTCACCCCCGAACATCACCCCTCACCCCGACAATCACTCCTCATCCCAGACCATCACCCCTCACCCCCAACCATCACCCCCGACCATCACCCCCGGCCATCAGTCCTCACCCCCGACCATCAACCCTCACCCACAACCATCACCCCCGACCATAACCCCCGACAATCACCCCTCACCCCCGACCATCTCCCCTCACCCCCGATCATCACCCCTCACCCCCAACCATCACCCCTCATCCCTAACCATCACTCCTCACCCCCGATCATCACCCCTCACCCTCGACCATCACCCCTCACCCCCGACCATCACCCCTCACCCCGACAATCACTCCTCACCCCCAACCATCACCCCCGACCATCATCCCCGGCCATCAGTCCTCACCTCCGACCATCAACCCTCACCCACAACCATCACCCCTGACCATAACCCCCGACAATCACCCCTCACCCCCGACCATCTCCCCTCACCCCCGACCATCACCCCTCACCACCAACCATCACCCCTTACCCCCAACCATCACCCCTCATCCCTAACCATCACTCCTCACCCCCGACCATCACCCCTCACCCCCAACCATCACCCCTCACCCCCTACCATCACTCCTCACCCCCGACCATCACTCCTCACCCCCGACCATCACCCCTTACCCCCAACCATCACCCCTCACCTCCGACCATCAACCCTCACCCCCGACCATCAACCCTCATCCCCAACCATCACCCCCGGCCCTTTATTTCCATAAGCCATTTTGACTAATTTACGAATCCCTAAAATATTTTTAATTACATTTTTTATCAACAACCATCACCCTCGACCATCACCCCTCACCATCACCCCTCACCATCACCCCTCACCCCCGACCATCGCCCCTCGCCCCAAACCATCACCCCCAACCATCACCCCCAACCATCAATCGCAACCATCACTTCCAACCATCACCCCTAACCATCACCCCCAACCATCACTTCCAACCTTATCCCCGACCATCACTTCCAATCATCACCCACAACCATCACCCCCGACCATAACCCCCGACCATCTCTCCTCACCCCCGATCATCACCCCTCACCCCAAACCATCACCCCTCATCCCTAACCATCACTCTTCACCCCCGACCATCACCCTTCACCTCCAACCATCACCCCTCACCCCCAACCATCACTCCTCACCCCCGACCATCACCCCTCACCTCCAACCATCACCCCTCACCCCCAACCATCACCCCTCACCCCCAACCATCACCCCTCACCCCCAACCATCACTCCTCACCCCCGACCATCACCCCTCACCCCCGATCATGACCCCTCACCCCCGACCATCACTCCTCACCCCCGACCATCACCCCTCACCCCGACAATCACTCCTCATCCCCGACCATCACCCCTCACCCCCAACCATCACCCCCGACCATCACCCCCGGCCATCAGTCCTCACCCCCGACCGTCAACCCTCACCTACAACCATCACCCCCGACCATAACCCCCGACAATCACCCCTCACCCCCGACCATCTCCCCTCACCCCCGATCATCACCCCTCACCCCCAACCATCACCCCTCATCCCTAACCATCACTCCTCACCCCCGATCATCACCCCTCACCCCCGACCATCACTCCTCACCCCCGACCATCACCCCTCACCCCCGACCATCACCCCTCACCCCGACAATCACTCCTCATCCCCGACCATCACCCCTCACCCCCAACCATCACCCCCGACCATCACCCCCGGCCATCAGTCCTCACCCCCGACCATCAACCCTCACCCACAACCATCACCCCCGACCATAACCCCCGACAGTCACCCCTCACCCCCGACCATCTCCCCTCACCCCCGATCATCACCCCTCACCACCAACCATCACCCCTTACCCCCAACCATCACCCCTCATCCCTAACCATCACTCCTCACCCCCGACCATCACCCCTCACCCCCAACCATCACCCCTCACCCCCGACCATCACTCCTCACCCCCGACCATCACTCCTCACCTCCGACCATCACCCCTTACCCCCAACCATCACCCCTCACCCCCAACCATCAACCCTCACCCCCGACCATCACCCCTTACCCCCAACCATCACCCCTCACCCCCAACCATCACCCCTCACCCCCGGCCATCAGTCCTCACCCCCGACCATCAACCCTCACCCACAACCATCACCCACGACCATAACCCCCGACAATCACCCCTCACCCCCGACCATCTCCCCTCACCCCCGATCATCACCCCTCACCACCAACCATCACCCCTTACCCCCAACCATCATACCTCATCCCTAACCATCACTCCTCACCCCCGACCATCACCCCTCACCCCCAACCATCACCCCTCACCCCCGACCATCACTCCTCACCCCCGACCATCACCCCTCACCCCCAACCATCACCCCTCACCCCCAACCATCACTCCTCACCCCCGACCATCACCCCTCACCCCCAACCATCACTCCTCACCCCCGACCATCACTCCTCACCCCCGACCATCACCCCTCATCCCCAACCATCACCCCTCACCCCCAACCATCACTCCTCACCCCCAACCATCACCCCTCACCCCCAACCATCACCCCTCACCCCCAACCATCACCCCTCACCCCCAACCATCACTCCTCACCCCCGACTATCACCCCTCACCCCCGATCATCACCCCTCACCCCCAACCATCACTCCTCACCCCCAACCATCACCCCTCATCCCCGATCATCACCCCTCACCCCCGACCATCACTCCTCACCCCCGACCATCACCCCTCACCCCCGACCATCACCCCTCACCCCCGACCATCACCCCCGACTATCACCCCCGACCATCACCCGTCTCCCCCAACCATCACCCGTCACCCCCAACCATCACCCCTAATCCCCAACCATCACCTGTCACCCCCAACCATCACCCCCGACCATCACCCCCGGCCATCACCCCCGACCATCACCCCCGGCCATCACTCCTCACCCCCGACCATCACTCCTCACCCCCAACCATCACCCCTCACCGCCGACCATTACCCCTCGTCCCCAACCATCACCCCCGACCATCACCCCCGGCCATCACTCCTCACCCCCGACCATCACCCCCGGCCATCACTCCTCACCCCCGACCATCACCTCCGGGCATCACTCCTCACCCCCAGCCATCAACCCCAACCATCACCCCCAGGTATCCCTCTGATGTCCCAGATCTGTCGACGACCTCAGATTCAGTTCAATATACCCGTGGCTACGCCTAGGCCACGTTTCCACAAAGTGAGTTGCTTGTCAGTTCATGATGTATGGCGCTTGCACTTTAAAACGTCTTCCTGGTCATTTCTTGTCAAGATTCAGGAATCAAAATATCATGCCACTCATAAACCCTCGCTACACAGTAAACATTCCTTAATTATCCATCCTGGTAAGAGGAACGTGATAAAGTTATTAACAAGTGTTATCTTCTTAAGTTTAGATACCCCGAACCCATATGAATCTTTGGAAAATATTCACATTTCACATATATTCTCATTTTGATGGGGGCGGTCGGGTAGACTAGTGGTTAAAGCGTTCGCTCGTCACGCTGAAGACCCGGGTTCGATTCCCGACATGGGTACAATGTGTGAAGCCCATTTCTGGTGTCCCCGCCGTGATATTGCTGGAATATTGCTAAAAGCGGCGTGAAACCATATTCACTCACTCACTCATTTTGATAAATGATAACGCAAAAGGGATGACTCTTTTGCCAACAGCCACCGTAGCACAGATGGAAGCGTGACGGACTACAAATCAAGAGGTTGCGGGTTCGAATCCCATCGAGGTTTAAATTTCTTTGTGTTCATCAATATGTTGTTGTTTTAAGTCTAATAGTATTTCTCTCATACAGGAAGCTGACAATGATATATATATATATATGATTACTACTTAACCTTTCTTTAGCTAGTGACGAGAGGCCACCTTGTTAAAAAATAATTAATGATTAGTAATGTAAACAACATATAATTAAATTTTCGTTGTGTTCAATGAAATTCCTGCATTTTGATTAGCTGAACTGGTCACGTGTTAACGCATTCATTACCCAATGAATACTTTTGTTACTGAGGAATGCCGGGGAATCCCGATATTACAGTCGAGGGAATTCCCTCTCTGCTCAAGTGTATCGTCATGCGCAGGACATTTAGCAACACTCATGCATATTCATGTTCATTCATATTCATATTGTTGTTCAAACAACCCTTGAAACAACAGCAAACGTGCAGGTTCGCTAACCTGTCTTTTTCCCGCTGGCCTCAGTTCCACAACGTTCATGTCTTCGGGTTTCATTTCCAGCTAGCATTTTTCAAACTGCGTCTGAGAACGCCCAGGGAACTAATGTTTGAACCATGTCTTTTTAAACAGCCCCCTTCTCCCGGACATATTTGTTCCGGTTCGTTACCGTCTGACTGTGGCAGTTCTTCTCGCCTCTTGCCTTGATTGACAGGTCCAAAGAACATTGTTTGGATCCTACTCTACGTTGATTGGCCACTGACTTTAAAGGCGTGTCAAGTTATGTGCATAAATTTTAACTGTCACCTGACTCATGTCACGCGACAGTTTGTATTCCTACACCTGGAATGTTTATCAATCTCGTCGTTTGTGTCTGCTTTGAGTGTTCCAGTTATATCACGGCTTGTCAGCTTAATGTGTGAGGAAGTGATGCAGGTTTCCGACGTTTACCACTTCGGTGAAACCAACGAGCACGGGTATGGTGCTGACAAACCTAGAAACATAATCGGGGCGGCCTGGGATTCGAACCAACAATCATAGGTTTCTGGCGTGCCCAAGGGACGCAACTCTGCACAGCCAATCCCGGCGCCTTAGACGACTGGGCCACCCGTGTCCCCGTAAACACACACAAGACATGTTTAGATCTAAATATGTCCAGGAATGTATTTAAATCCTGAAGGGAATAGACATTTGTCGTGTTCTATCTGAACACGTTCAGGGTCAAAACACATGAAATGAGACATTTTCTCTCAGCCTAAACACAACATCCACATAAATCTAATCATGTTTAGAGTTTAAACACAGTTAAATAAGTTTGGATTTCATACATGTTTAAAGTTTATAGATGTTTAGAATTTAAACATGTTTAAAGTTTTAACATTTTAAAAATTGATACTTACTCCAATAAAGTGCCCATCTTTAGGAAATGAGTCAAATATGGGAAAGATGTATGATATATATTGAAATTAGATGTGCAAAAGAGATTCATAACACATGCACCACCAGGTCTCACACAACAATTGGTAAAATATTAACAATAAATGTACAAAAAAACAGGCACCGTTAACGGTGACCAGGAACATTTGCACCTGTGACCACAACAGTCTCCATAGCACAGGTACCATCGTGAAGGACTAAAAATTAGGAGATCACAGGTTCCTCTCCGCCGTACCCTTAATGTTTTGGGTAAGTCATCCTCCCCATCCCCACCCAACCACAGATGCTCATGAGGTCAATCACTGGATTGTCTGAAAGTTGAACATTTATCAAAAATGCCGGTCAAAAACAATACTTCCGGACAACATGGCAGGAATATTGTAGAAACTGGTGCTTATTTATCAAATATGAAATATATGAGAGGTAGGGTCCCCCGTCGTGATATTGCTGAAATATTGCTGAAAGTTGCTTAAACCATACTCACTCTTAGAACCAAGGCTGGCACCAGGCAAACACTCGATATCTGGTGATTACATTTTAGTCATTAGATCTTGAGATTATATCCTGGTCAATAGTTTAACGAAGTAGACACAACTTATGGATAACAACTTCTTTAATACTGTAAAGGCGACGTTTCGGTATAGATCCTTATTCCGTTGTCATGCAAGACTGGTGATGGTGTTGGTTGCCACGTCTGAATGTAGACGACGGAAGAATTGTTTGATAGGCATTACTTAGAAGTTGACGGATGACAAAGTAGACACAATTTATGGATAAAAACTTCTTTTATACTGTAAAGGCGACGTTTCGGTATAGATCCTTATACCGTTGTCCTTAAATGGAAAGTTCTTGTTGTCTGTAGTAACTGTTCAATGGAGGGGAAGGTCAACCTCTGCAAGGGAACCCGACAGAATTGGGATGTTCTTCCTTCGTCTCCTATACCAGCAATGGCGCCGGGTCTCATATGACTGGAAAATAGCACCATCCAATCTTGATAGCTCTTCATCACATATGCGCTGAACCGGCAAGGACTCAGTGTCGTCACGCTGACGCAGGGAACTCGGGAATCTTCTTTCTTTGTTATTTTCTGGCGGATGATTGTGCGGAGACTTGATCCTGACAAATGCACCACCACTGTAGGCGAATATAGATGGATCCCAGTCGTCAAGCCCTCGACATCTGGGAATCATATCTCCTTCATTATTGTAAACTACAATTGGTTGTGAACAAGGAGAAGACGTGACAAGTTAGCACATGAAGCTGAGGGTAACAAACTTTGGCATTGTAATGCATGTTACCACTACCAAATGTATGGATACGTTATGGACAGAAAGCTGACAGAAACTAAAATATTTCACCCACTACCACTATAAGGATCCTTTACTAAGTGTCTGACATACACTTGATTATTTCACCCACTACCAAATGTAAGGATGCGTTAAGACAAGTGGCTGACAGACACTAAAATCATCCACTGTGTGTGTGTGTGTGTGTATGTGTGTGTGTGTGTGTGTGTGAGAGAGAGGGAGAGACCGGGCAATAGACCGTGTGAGTTTTAGTTTAGTTTAGTTTTCATTTGACTTGTCCAGAACACGTAAGACCTGCCCCTAGTGTATAGAACAAACACCCTGTGAACTCAAAAGAGCCCACTAGTCCGATGGTGGATGACCATATGATGGAAACACGAATACGTACATACACCGAAACACAAGTGGTATCAAATGTGCCTCTGTTCACCTAGCAGGGAATAGGTTGGTTGGTTGGTTGGTTTGTTGTTTAGCGTCGCACTCAGCAATATTCGAGCTATATGACGGCGGTCTGTAAATAATCGAGTCTGGACCATACAATCCAGTGATTGATATCGTGAGCATCGATCCACGCAATTGGGATCGATGACATGTATCAACTAAGTCAGCGAGCCTGACCACCCGATCCCGATATGTGAGTCGAGTGTAAAAACCGTCTAGCTACCCCAGGAAGCTTGGGTTGTATACTCCCCAGGGAGTTGATAATGATAACTGGAATGCAAACGGATCAACTGGTCGGGGACCAGTTAACAATTCGAGCAGATACTAGTACCTGGATAACTGCGGTATATTTAATGTATAATATACTACTACGAATAATAATAGTCTAAATAACTTGTGGACCCTCAGACGAATTTGTTCTTTATGCCTAACATCGATTACATCACCAATCACAATATGTGATACATGCAATCAATTCACCTGATAGCATCATACATTCACATTTTAGCCTGATTTAATTAGAGATTGTTGCCATGGCTCGTCGTGCATTTACGGCGTGATAGGCCCATAAAACTCCTGATTAGGGCCATAAAGCAATAAATGTTCGCAGAAATAGCCACGGATGGTCAGGTCTACTATCGCTACAATCCACTTTGCCTAGAGTCTTATCAAACCAATGTTATGCACCAGTGGCTGTCACTAATGAGCTCCCATCACCTTCAGTATGAATGCACTTTCCCACTATGAGAGACTGAGAAAAAACCTGATAAGAGATAACAATTTTATTTATACTTTGCTTTCCATCAAGATTAAATCACTCATTAAACTAGCACATCACTGCGTCGGAAAATTGAAACAATGTCTCACTCATTACAATAGCACATTAAAAACTTGTCATTTTGGGGGCTTTTCTGTCCAATTGATAGCTGATCTTTCAGTCTCTGCAGTCTCTGGTCAAGTTCAACATAGATTCGTTTGCGAGGAGGGGCCGCGCACCATCCTGGAACTGTACCAGTTCGTTTCTCTCGGTCTACTCCAGTTGCTGCAACACTCGGATCAAGGCGAAGATGTTAGGATGGGCACGCTGGACCGTCTTGTTGAGGTGACTGTGCCATCCTTCAAGAAGATTGTTTGCCCCTGGACCTGTGTTGTCACCGTGGTTCCAAATTGATGGCTTGAGCCGGGCGTCGTCATCCACCAATATGGTCACCTTGTAATCATTGAAGGGGATGGCTTGAGGGATGTTGGGAGTGTGGTCCATGGCATCCAACCAGGCATCTTTGACTTGTCGGAGAGGGAGCAGTGGCAACGCTGCAGCTCGGCGTACCCACTGGTTGACTTCTTGGTTGTCTCGGTATTGGTTCACCATCCCAAGCTGATGGACCTTAAAATAATAACATACTTACAATTAATATTCATATTTATTATAATATCTGAAATATAATATGTAATGTGTAATAATATTATATACTCTTCAAAAAAAGAAACTTGACATAGATGTAAAACCACTTTTTGCCAAATATCTAAAATAATTACATTAAATGAGAACCAAATAAGTCAAACAGAAAGATGATGTGTCTAAAGTTCGCGAAAACACATGCAAAGCACATAAACGTAGCGTTTGGGGATCAATTTTACAGCTTCATCCAAACACAACCGCCTGTTAAAACGTGCAGCACAGGATCCTGCATTTAGGCATGCAGGCCCCCCTGCTGAATGGGTATACAAATCTACATCAACGGCTGTTCATACAGTCCTTATAACGGCAGTAGGGGCGGTGACAGAATGCCAAGACTGAATGCAGCTCAACG